TTAATAATTCTAAAATTATTTTAAGTACGCCCCCACTCATGTAATTTTCTAGATCTGTCAGTGTTCATAATAAGCTTTGTTTTATTAGTAGTTGCAGGATGACACATTCTGCAATTTACTTAGCTTCCTGCATTAATCTCCAAAGTATGACCCGTGATGGGCCCTTAATTTTGGAGTTTAAATTTGAGGCCCTAAACCCTCAATATTAAATATCATTTCACAATTTCTTGAGTATACATACATTTGAGGATCAAATTAAATCATTTGCATGTGGTGAAAAAGTTTGGAGACTAACTCTACGAAAGTATAAAGAGGAGTAACAAGTGTGGAAAAACATGTAAAATGCCTAAAAAGTTTGTCGTTGGCGTAAGGTTGGTTCACTTGTAATTTTTTAAAGAATGAAGTAGAGGAATTAGACAATTTTCAAACTACTATAAAAATTTCCATCACTTTTTTTATTTTAGTACGCTTTATTTATTGCATTATATTTTTTAAAAAAAAACGCAAGTATGCGGGCACAATTTCAACTGCAAATTTGTTTTTAATAGTATTGCCCTTTGAGATTGTGTTCAGTGATTTACTTATTTAGCCTAAGATTCAAGCTATTCCAATAAATATTTGAAATGTTGTAAATAAATATATGTGGGCATTACTATAGGTTTTATATTATGACAATACCTCTTCATCCTTCATAGTATTGTAGTTATACTGAAACTCTATACTTATGTATATATTGGAATGAAGATGATTAAAAAATTTTATGTCAAGTATTTTATGTTTCTTGGGAGGTTGTGGTTCGAGTCACAGTGGAAGCAGTATTGACTCTTTGTGATTCAGTAGGTTGAGAAAACAGCTATGAACATATACTGTATTGTAACAAAGTCAGTAGCATTCAAAAAATCTAAATAATTTTTTTTTTTTTTGTTCAGACAATGAGTCATAAAATGTTTTTCTAAATTTTGTTGTTATATTAAATTTATTAATATTAATGGAGGAAAAATTAAGGCTAAATCAGCCATTATTAAACAAGAGAGATGTCATTATCCATATGTTTCAAAACATGAGAAATCTAAAAATAAAAAGGAAGTTCAGTTTCTTCCAAAAAAAAAAAAGGAAGCTCAGTAATTGTGTTTTGTCATGTATTCACATTATTCACCTTTCATGGTGGGTAGGCAGGCTAGCCCAGTGGCATACTTAGCTTCATAATTCTTCGTGCCCAAGAAATACTACTTGCGTGTTAGAATAGACGATTCATATTCTAGGTTTGTTTTAATTAAGAATTTCAAGGAGAATAAAGCAAACCAATCAAAGGAATCACGACGGTTGGTAGACCGTTTCTACCCCTCAAAATTCCTTTATTTATAATTTCTTATCTATAAATTATAATAGAAGGCAAAAAACTACATTGATGTTACTGGAATATTTTCTATATCTAACCATGCATGCAAAAAAAAAAAAAAAAAAAAAATATATATATATATATATATATATATATATATATATATATATATATATATATATATATATATATATATATATATTCAATTCATCTTAATTGTTACATACATGCATATTTGCTAATTGTTAATTATGATGATGCTATGTTAATATATAAGAAAATTATTCCTATATTAGTTGTAATTTTCTTTTTAGAAAAGTTGTCAAAGCAACAAATTTATGCTCAGATCATTAAAAAAGAGTTAATTCCTAAAATGGTCCTTCCACTATGGCATTTTCTTAAATTGGTTCCTTGACTTTTAATTGTATCTAAAGTGGTCCTCGACTATTGAATTTTAAGTCAAAATGATCCTCCGTTAGTTTTGGTGTTAAGTGGATGTTAAAATGAGGGGTAAAACTGGTAATTTAGGGTTTTCACTATAGTCAAAGGACTGCTTTGTGTGCAATTAAAAGTCAAATGATCGATTTGAAAAAAGACCATAGTCAGAGGACCATTTTATGAATTTTCTCTTTATAGTTCAAACATGATTTGTACTCATTTTGATTAAAAGGGGTTGATCCTGTGCTTATTTTCATTTACTTGGGGGTAATCGCACTTTTGGCCCCTCAATTAGTGTCCATTCTGCAATGTCATCCTTAGTTCCCAATTTGAACACATTTGGTCCCTCAATTATTCGACCATTAAGCAGATTTGGTCCTTCTGTCTCTATAGCCGTTTAACACCGTTTAAAACATGGGTAAAAGTGGAATTTCACATAGCATTGTTTATAATAAGTAGGGAAAATCGCACTTTTGGTCCCTCAATTAGTGCACAATCTGCAATGTCATCCTTAGTTCCCAATTTGAACACAATTGGTCCCTCAATTATTTGACCATTAAGCAGATTTGGTTTTTATGTGTGACCATCAGTATAACTTCGTTTAAATCAGGGGTATAATTGAAATTTCACATAGCCTTGAATATATTAAGCTAATTTTTCCCCTTTCTCTGCTCGGTTGTTATTTTCGACACCGCAGATGCTCCGCCACCGTTGAGAAATTTCTCGGCATCAACCATTTGCAAGTCCACTCCCTACCCATCTTACTGCCAAATTGTTCTCCCCAGCAACAACTCTTCTTCCAATGTCTACGACTATGGCCGATTCTCCGTCTGCAAATCCTTATCCGCTGCGGGCAAGTTTCTGTCATTGATCCAGAAGTACCTTCGCTGCAATGCCAAGTCGTTAACCACCACCGCCGTTCGAGCTCTCAAGGATAGCGAGTTCCTCGCGCGGTTTAAACATGAATTATCTCTCCAGTTTTTTCAAGACTGACAACGGGACTTCTTGGTATCTCCCGGTGTTGGAAGTTGACGACGTGCAAACATTGCTCAACGCCATTCTCACCAACACGCAGACGTGTACAGACAGCCTGCAAGCGACGTCGTCGGCTTGGAGCGTTAGGAATGGGATCGTGGCGCCGCTGGCAAACGACAGCCGCTGTTTAGTGTTTCTCTGGCTCTGTTCACCAAAGGGTGGGTGCCGAGGAAGAAGAAGGCCGCCGCCGCCAGAGCTTGGGCGTCCGACCAAGAAACAGCTTGAGTTCTGGAACGGGCGTTTGCCTCTGGAGATGTTGGAACGGACGAAGGCGATTTTTGAGCAAGTTGGCCGGAGAAAGCTCCTGCAAACTCAGGAAGATGACCAGGTTCTAGTGACTGACATTGTGGTTGTGAGTCAAGATGGGAGTGGAAATTTTACCACCATTAATGACGATGTCGCCACTGCTCCCAACAACACTCTGTCCGACGGCGGCTACTTCCTCGTATACGTGATTGCCGACGTGTACGAGGAATACGTCTCTATTGCCAAGAACAAGAAATACTTGATGATGATCGGCGACGGCATTAACCAGACCATCATCACCGGAAATCACAGCTATGTTGATGGCTAGACTACTTTCAATTCTTACTCATGTGAAATTTTAATTATACCCCTGATTTAAACGGAGTTAAACTGATGGTCTCACAGAAGGACCAAATCTGCTTAATGGTCAAATAATTGAGGGACCAATTGTGTTCAAATTGGGAACTAAGGATGACATTGTTGATTGGGCACTAATTGAGGGACCAAAAGTGCGATTTTCCTTACATATTATAAACAATTCTATGTGAAATTCCACTTTTACCCATGCTTTAAACGGTGTTAAACGGCCACACAGACAGAAGGACCAAATATGCTTAATGGTCGAATAATTGAGGGACCAAATGTGTTCAAATTGGGAACTAAGGATGACATTGCAGAATGGACACTAATTGAGGGACCAAAAGTGCGATTTTCCATTTTCTAAATAAACAATCTTTTTTACTTTAATTATTAGCTAAAAAATTATTTTTTAAAAAAATAACTTAGAATAATAATTTTGATTATTAGCCCAATACTTATATATAGTTGTACAGACTAACATTAATTTTGGATTAGATCTTTATTATTTAGGAATGCTTGGCATTATGTATTTGGATTTTGATTTTCTATGATCATAAATAGGCATACATATAATTACAAAACTATTGTGAAAAATTACAACCAAGTGGACAACTGACATAAACCATTGCTTATTAAAAAAAATAGTTAAATACAGACGATAAGAAAGATAATAAAAAAAATCATTGTCTATTACAAAAATACAATATTCGTTTATAGGGGCAGAACAAAAAATATTGGTCAGTGGAGGCGAAATTTTTTTTAAAAAAATTCAAAACGTGATAAAAGAATATTTATAATAAAATATGAAATGGTTGGAATATATTGTATATCATCGCTATTAATATTATATTCATAAATACTTTTTAATTTAATTATATCAACTCTAAGTATTTTATATTAATTTAAATACCATAATACACAAATGGAACTTTTAGATTATATTAACTAGATATTTCATAAAAATGAAATTTTCTTTTAAAATATTAACCAGATAGTTCAAATTGGTCATTTGACTTTTAATTGCACCCAAAGTAATCCTCTGACTACAGTAAAACACTGAATTACCAGTTTTACCCCTCATTTAAACACCCACTTAACGCCAAAACTAACAGAGGACCATTTTGGCTTAAAATTCAATAGTCAGAGGACCACTTTAGATGCAATTAAAAGTCAAGGAACAAATTTAAGAAAATGCCATCGTCGGAGGACCATTTTGAAAATTAACTCTTAAAAAATACACCGACAACAAATTTCAAATTCAACACCCACCTTAAACAAAAAAATTCTTTCATAAAAAAGTATCCAAATTTTAAAAAGATTTAGTTAATTAGAAGAGTTAGTAAAAAAAAGAAAAAAAAAACTCATTTTAACAAAAGAAGATTGTGGCAATTTAAAGATCATAGATCTCTATATTAGGATTCTTGTATTTGAGTCATAGTATGACTCCATATTCTATTCTCCCTGTGATTCCTCGGGTATATATATTCCCCTTACATGTACATTGTAATTACTGTTCATAATATACAATTTCCTACAGTTCTCATCTGGTATCAGTTAAGATAGGGTTTCTTCCTCTATCTCAATGGCTGACGAATCTGCTAACTCCTCCGAACAGACCGTTTCCAATGCAACTATCACGTCTTTCGCTAGCTCTGCTGTTACTTCGCTTTCTACTGCTCATCACTTTATCAGTATTAAGCTTACCCATAAAAATTATCTCATGTCGTTCGTAGATGGATTTCATCCCAGTCCGGCGCCCTTCCTCCCCGCCGTCGACGGTGCGTCGCCGGCCCCAAATCCTGAGCATGCCACGTGGTTTCAGCATGATCGGGTTCTTATGTCTATGTTGATCTCTTCTCTCAGTGAAGAAGTTATGCACCTCGCCGTTGGACGCCGTACGTCACGAGAGGTTTGGGATTCAATTGAACAGTCTTTGGCTTCCGTATCTCGCGCCCTCTCATTAAATCTCCTTGGCCAACTCCAGTCTCTCAGCTAGGGAGATTCCACGATTGCTGATTATATTGGTCGTGCCCGTGTTATTTTGGAGGATCTTGCTTTGGCCGGTAGCTGGTCAGGTTAGACGAGATGAATCTTTATGTGTTTCGGGGTTTACGGCCATAGTTTCAAAACCTAACCGCATCTCTCTCCGCCCGCGGTACCGTAACCCTAGGTGAGCTGGGTGACTTTCTTGGAGCTCAAGAGTTCATCCGTGGTACGACTCCTAGAGCCCCACCGGCGGCTTTCGTCGTTCAGCGATGCAGGCAGACCCGCCGCGGCAGCCGCAGCAATAACCCCAAAATATCAGAATGATCACTCAGATAGAACAACAGCCGCGGTGGCCAACGAGGAGGTAGCGGCGGTAGGTCGCAAGCTGGCCGTGGCGGTCAACGTGGACGCGCGCGGCAACGGCGATAATGGCGAACCGTCGGTCTGTCAGATCTGTAGTCGTACGGGGCACTCAGCTTTGACTTGTTACAATCGTTATGATCCTCCTCCACAAGCAAATTTGACATATCAGAATGACCACTTAGATTGCTCTTCTAACCTGCGCCTCCATTCCATATAAGTTTTGGGATTTTACCTTTGAAACTGCAGTTTATTTAATTAACAAAATGCCATCTGTTGTATTTAATAATCTCAGTCCCCATTTTAAAGTGCATAATTCCAATCCTTCATACTCTTTTCTTTGTGTCTCTGGGTGTCTATGTTATCCATATCTTAGGCCATACAATCGTCACAAACTCTCATTCCGGTCTTCCCCGTGTGTTTTCCTAGGTTATCCTAGTCATTTCAGGGGTATAGATGCATGGACTTACAGACTAACAAGGTTTATGTATGCAGGCATGTAAGGTTTGATGAAACAATTTATCCTTTTGCTACTAAAAATACTGTGCAGACATCTCAACCGGCGCAACATCATCTGTGGGCTGAGTTGGTTCTTTGTCCTACGGCTGCCATTTCTCTGTCTCTTGGCACGACTGCCGTCCGACCCAGCTCCATCGACGACGACCCCGTGCCGCCTCCACCACCGCATGTTGCCACCACCGATCACTCGGCCTCGCCTGAGCGTGAGCCACGTGACCAGGAGGACTAGCCCGTAAAACGTCCTCGAGGTCGTCCTCGCGGGAAGATTGTTAAGTCCACAGTTCGGACTCATGAGATGCACACTCGGAGCTGGTCTCAGGCACACATTATCTACATCTAAGGGACCATTATCAGTGAGTTCAATCTACTATCTCAACAGCAAATCAAACAGATGGTAAGATAACACCTTTTCACCCAATGTGTGCTACACACCACACGGTAGCACCCAATCTTTTGAAGCTTATAGAAGATTGTCAAGCTCGGAGATCCGTGCTTCAACGTCCAAAGTCCCTTTGGAGATTCATGCTGTCGTTTTCCGTCTCACTTACTCACATACCAATGCACTACAGTTTTATGGAATACAGTCTGCTGATTTAAACTTTGTAGAACTTCTTCTCAGTAGCCTTCTTAAACTCAGATCATCAATGGTGTCTTGAGAAGATGATAACTCAGAGTATTCTCATTGTAATTCGTGGAGAGAGTTTCTTGATATTCAAATCTAGCTTAAAGGATATTTCTTGTAAAGCTTCTCTCTTTTTTTCCTCTATATCTTTTATCCCGTAAACAACCAGTATATATAATACTTTGAATCTTGGATGACAAGTAATGTTCAAGGGTTTCCTTGTAAACAAAGATTACTAGTCACGTCTTCTTTTTGGTAAGTTTGACCGCAACATTGATAGTTTCTTTAAATCTCCATATGGTAACTGCTCCATTTGAATGGAAAGGCTGTGAAATAATTCAACTGCTAATTCCCAAAAACCCACATGATGCTGCAGTGTCACTCAGTACTGTTCTACCAAATCTTCACTCAGTACTATAAGAAACACTAAACCTGACCTATCTAGTTTGTCATAATAATTTGACAATTACAAGTTGAGGTTTACAATACTTAAACACTAACAGATTCAACACGTGGAGCGAACAAAAAATAAAATTGACTGAATGCAAAGTAGAACAAGGGGACACAAATATATTGAGAATAATTCAAAATTTCAAAAAAAAAAGTATTTAAATTGTATCGCCAATAAGTTTCAATTACCTTAGTGTTCAAATCATTTGTTATTTGTTCGGGTTTGAAAAATTACAACCAACTTAGTTGTGGTTGATACAAGTACAACGGCATAGTTTCTATTTTTTTTTTTTCATAACTTTGGCTGATAAACTAGTCACAATACGATATTTTAGTAATGTCAATAATATGAGGTAATTGACATTAAAGAAGTTCTGAAGTTAAAAGTTTGTAATTTTTTTTTTCCAAACCATTTGTGTAGTATTTGCTCTATAAATACAACTTAAAAAAATACAGATTAATGTGAATATTTAATTTTTATCACAAGCAACAATAATATTCTCACTATGATAACAATCTTATTATTAATTATTAGTAATATCCTCAAAAGTTCATTCAGGGAAGAATAATCTTAAAATCAATAGCCATCGACACAATAATTAATGAACAGTTATGGAGAAACAACCCCGTCAAGGATGCTTGGTCAACTTTTGGAAGCAGCGGTGCACATTACATATTCTCTGCTTTAAGTCTTAGTTTGCCTATCATTTTTACAGCATTCTTCGTAATTTCATTTCATTCAATCACAACCATGCATCAATCCGAATCAACGGCCTTCAGTCATCCGATTCAGATTCTCGTCCCTTAGATCGCCTCTACCTCCCACTATAAGTATCATACAGACCCCTTCTGCTCTCAACCAAACCAAACACTCAAAATAAACATTCCCATCTAAAAACCTCCTCCAGTTTTACTCAACAAAATAAGATATATACACACTCACAAAAAATTCAAGAAATGGGCAAGAAGTCAAGCTTTTCATTCTTTGGAATGTTCAAATCAAAGGCCAGCAAGAAGGTGTGGAATGGAGAAGATCATCAGAGGGACGACGTGTTTGTGAATGCGTACAAAACTTGGCGTAGCGATGAAGATCGTGGTACTATGTGGGTGGCGGAACCTGGGATTGATAGCAAAGCTACTCTTTTCATCAATGGGAAGACAAAGTTCTGGAGCAACTCTGATATATAGTTGATGGCTGATGGCTTCAATTAACGATATAGTACGGATATACATATGTTCATTCGGTCGCTAGCTCAAACTGTAATTTATTTTTTAGCTTTGCTTATTTATATCTGCTTAATTATTTGTTATCTTAGGTCTTCTGTGTCAAGAATTAGAGTATATTTGTATATTTATTATTCAATATATAATTGTTTGTCAGAATAAGTCCCGTAAGGAATTAGTCTGTAACTAGTTTACCCCAACCCTACCCTAAATGCCCCCACACTCCGGTCCGACAGATCATTTGGGAGGATGTAAATCATGGCGACTCAACTGAACATGAACCACAGAGGCTAGACCGGAGTAACTAGTTTACATAGAATTAGTAGTGTTTGTTGAAAGCTTTGTATATATATTACCGCTCAATGAATAAGATACACTTCGTTCTTCACTTATTTCCTCTACATGATATTTTTCTGCAAGCTACTTGCTCTAATACATTGTAGTATCTGTTCATCTATACTTTTTTAACCGATTGAAGACAAAGAGTCAACACCGTCTCCACTGAGGCTCGATCTCATGACCTCCCATATGAGAGAGTCACTACATATCATCTAAGCACAAAGTGCTTGACCCTCTACCTGGTATTAGAGCTAAAACATCTCCAATTGCAAACATCTCCTTTTGGCACTCATCAATCGAGCGACCTCCTTGTGGGTTTGAGGCTAATTTAACGTTTAGAGAAACAATTCTATATCGAAATGGATTGCCGTAGCTGGAAAACAGTCATTGTCATACTTCATAACTAGAAGTCAGTCACTAGTCCACCTCACACACCTGAGCATAATGGGGATAGCTAAGTGTCGTCATGGACACATATTGTAGAAATAGGTCTTTCTTTACTTCATATGCATCGAAGCCATTAAAGTATTGGTCTTACACCTTTCAAACAACAGTGTATCTCATAAATTGATTACCAATACCAATTCTTCAAGGTAAAACACCATTCATGTCTTGTTTGAGGTGTGTCCAAATTACTCAAAATTAAATCCTTTCGGGTACCTTTTATTCTTTGGTTACAACCCTATAATAACTCTAAAGTACAACCTTGATCTACTGTTCCAAACACCGAGTTAGAAAACTCCCTCACAAGTCTGGTTTGTCCTTCACGATATGTTTCATCCTCTCACCATGAAGTTAGTCAATTCGAGCCTTCGGCCAGACTAGTCTGAACAAGGTTCCCCAGTCCCAAATACTATAATCCTAACTTCCTCAATCATACTATAAGTCATGGTTTACCCGTTATGGTTGAGCATTCTACTATTATACAGTCTAAGAAAGATTCTCATTGGCGGCATGCTATGGATGAAGAATACAATGAACTTCTTAAAAACGAAACATGGGAATTGGTCCCAAAGATAGATCAAACACCAATTGAGTGTAAGTGGATATTTCGTATTAAAAGAAAACTTGATGGGTTTGTGGATAGGTATAAAGTGTGATTTAGTGGCTAAAGGTTATTTGCAAGAGCCAGGAAATGATTATTTTGATACTTTCAGTCTAGTAAATAAATCGACAACGATTCGAGTAATTTTAACTCTCACTTTAGCTTCCAATTGGCATGTACGCCAGTTGGATGTGAACAATGCATTTTTTACTTGGGACCTTGGTTGAGGAAATTTATATGAAACAACCTCCCAGGGTTATTGTGATCCTCTTCGTCCGAATCATGTCTTTCGCTTACAAAAAGTCCTTTATGGCCTAAAACAGGCTCCTCAAGCATGGTATATGGAGCTATCATCCTATCTTGTTTAGTTTTGTTTTAGAAAATCTCGAGTTGATTATTCTCTATTTATATACAATTCTAATGATGTTATAGTTTAGTCCATAATGTATGT